ATTTAAATAAAAAATATATAAAACAATGAACATTTAGTCGTATTTCTTGTGCATTAACTGACAAATATTCATTAATGTGCAATGCAGAGCAAAGCTAAGATACAAACCACAATAACAGCAGCAGCAACAGCAACAACAAGAGCAACAACAACAACAACAGTGGCAGCAGCAGTATCAACAGCATCAGCATAAGTTACAGCAGCAGCAACAACAACAACAATAGCACTAATAACAGCAACAGCGACAACAACAGCAATAGCAACAACAACAGCAATAGCAACAGCAGTAGCAACAGTAACAGCAACAGCAACAACAACAACTACTACTACAACTACAACAAGAATAGTGACAACAACAGCATCAGCCGCAACAGTAACAACAACAGCAACAGCAATAGCAACAGTAACAGCAACAACACATTGGCAACAGCAACAGCCACAGCAACAACAACAACAACAATGCATACACTAGTTACTTAACTCAAAGCGCTGACAGAACTTCACTCTCGTTTTCAAAAAGAGCATAAAATAATTGCTAGACAGACAAACGTCGGCGTTGACGTTGCTATCGTCATCACAGTTGTTGTTGTTGTTGCTGTTGCTGTTGCTGCTATATCAACTTCTTAAGCTTCACTTGCAAATAGCAATAGTTGCTGCCAACGCCGCCGTCGTCGCTGCTGCTGCCGCTGTTGACCGTTCGCTCACTCGCTCGCTCGCTCGTTAACTCGTTCGGCTTGACGTTGCTCGTGTGTCGTTTGGCTTGATCGCTCGGGCGTTGTCTGGTGTATTATAAAAGCGGCTTTCGTCTTGGTTCTAGTCATCAGTTGAATCCAGCTCAACGTCTCGCATACACGCAACAAACCACTCGGACTTTCGTATCCTTAAAATGGCTTTCATCAAAGTGAGTGCGAGGGAGAGCGCTTGCACAGTGCCAGCCCGCAGTATTGTGCCCAGTGTCTATATGTCTATGCTATAATAATTGTGCTCTATTTGTATGTATGACAGTCTTTGATCTGCTTGGCTGTCGTCAGCGCCGCCTCCGCCGGTGTCCTGCATGGCGGTCATGGTCTCTATGCCGCCGGTCCTGCTCTGGCCTACGCCTCGCACGGACACCCTGATGAGGGCATCGACTATCATGTAAGTGCTTCGCAGTAGCTGTGCGAGAGGACTCTTGCTCATGCTCTGGCTCCTCTCTTGGCAGGCCTATCCCAAGTATCACTACAACTATGGCGTCGCCGATACGCACACTGGCGATGTGAAGTCGCAGCATGAGGTGCGCGACGGCGATGTTGTGAAGGGCTCGTACTCTCTGGTGGAGCCTGATGGTTCCGTGCGCACCGTGGAGTACACCGCTGACGATCACAACGGCTTCAACGCCGTCGTTCACAAGACCGCACCCACTGTCCATGCTGCCCCATTGGTTGCCCACGCTCCTGCCATCACTCACCATGTGTCCGCTGCCCCAGCTGTGGCTTATGGTGGCTCTCTGGCCGCTGCTGTGCCCGCTTATGGCTATAATGCGCATGCGCATCTCGGCCACTACTAAGGAAACCACATAGAGAATGCAATCGACCACCCCCACCTCCCCCACGCCACACCACGCGCCCCATTTGTCACGCTTTTTCTTTCATATTTATTAAACACACGTGGACACCGGCCTACAGCATCGCCTGCTCAATACTCAAGTTACTTTGTAAATGACTATGAAACGCGCATACGGAACCATCAAATTGCATCCCTCTTGCTCGCACATGCGCCGTCTCTGTCTCACGCATACACCCATAGACACTCACGCACGAAAGATGATCATGAACTGGAAGATGATGATGAACAGTTGAGCTCCGCTAGGAATATCCATACACAAATATAAATTGGGAATTTATATTTTGTAACATGTCTCATAATTTCTGCCTTAATACTTAAGTTTTCATTGAAACTGCGATAAAATGCTATAAATATAAAATGTACTGAATTACAAAAATCCAAAACAACCAGTTTTACTATATCAAAATTTATATTTATATCATTTGCGAGAGGCTTTCGAAAGGTGAATGTAGGAGGAAACCTATAGAGATTTTCGTATTACCAAACACTTTGAGAGCTAGAATAAAAATTCGATTATACATGAATTCATAGAAATAATATACTTAATCATGTTTCATAAAAGTTCGAAAGCTGTCAAGTTTCTTTTGCCTTTTATCTAATACATATATATTTTTTTTTTTTTTTTTTATTTATCTTTTATATATGTTTTGGAATGTTGCCAGCTACAGTCTCAGAAAAAGGATTAAGTATAAATGTTTAAGTCCATTTTTGCAACTTTTAGTCTACTTGTAGGCTACAGTGTGGATTTCATAATCTTTAAATATTTATCTTCCACATTTTACAATGCTTAATTATGTATACGTAATAATAACTCAATGCAGAAGGCAAGCAAATTGCGAGTAAAATTTGCATTGCATACTCTCAGGCGGCGGATGTTATTGCCAGCTCTTGCTGCAATGAAACGATGATTGCTTTCCATTGCAATTAAAGGCACATATTTAATAAAATTCTGTATGCAGCCAACAAGTTAAATGAATTTTAAATCATGGACAAATAATTGCAGTCTGTTAATTAAAAATTAAATTTACTCAATAATAATTCACTCATGAGCCAAAAATCTTGAGAGTAAAATATTCATTGCATGCTTTTAGGCGGCAACTTTTATTAACAGCGCTTGTAATTGTACAACTTAAACTAATCTTTTGCAACTAAGCAATAAGAACTACAGATTTACATAAAAACAAAAAGACTTCTCTAATGCCTTTATGATTGGGAGATAAGATAAATTGAGTTCTTAAATGCTCTGACGTTGCCTTGCAACGCTGCAGTTGTGTTCGAGCTTCGAAGATGTTGCGCGTGTTGCTGCTGCTGCTGCTGGCTTTGGGTGTCCTGGATTGTCGGGCCGATTGCAATGTGTGCTCCACATTATCCAATGCGGCCTGTGTGTCGCAGACACAGTTCATGTTCTGTGTAAATAACATACTAGTTCAGCCAGTGAATAGCTGTCCGTCGGGTACTTTCTGCACGGCTCAGGCTGCCATTTGCCAGAGTAACAGCTCGTTAGTGTCGTGCACTGAATGTGGCATATGCAGTGATAACCTCGTCTTTGCCTGCCTGGGTGTTCACACCTATGCCCTGTGCCTCGGCACGCAGCAGCCATCACAAATCACAGGCAGCTGCGCCCCCTACTTGGTGTGCAACAGGAACAATCCCAACATTTGCGGCTCTGCTTTGACTGAGGGCCAGGCCTCCTGCCCCCTGATGGATAATGAATTGTACATCGATGCGAATACTTATTGCCGATCTGTCCAAAGGGCTGGCCGCTATCCCTATGGCAACAGGCTCGAAACCACCTGCAAACAGTGCGTATGATGCACTAACTGTAATATGAACCAACTATCGACCATTTTCCATTTTAGATACGTCAATTGTTATGTGTACAACACCATTTGGTATGGCGCCCTGTACGAATGCCCGGGCTCAACCTATTTCCAGCCCAGCTCACAAATGTGCAACACCACAGTGCCATCTGCCTGTCGCACGACTGCGAGCAGCTTGCAATGGCCCTAGGCGACGACAACTAATTGAAAACGTTCCAATTGGCAGAATATTCCAATTGGAAAATAAGTAATAAACTTTGTGGCTCATTAAAATATTAAATATTGTGTGATTTTTGAATACATTTAGTCTTATAAATACAGCGCCTGCACTCACTTAATGGCCTATTCTTGGATAGCTAATGAGTTCTTTAGCCCACTTTATTAATAGGTATTATTCATAATTCTTAGCCTTGGCTAAAGTGTTTCCATAATGCCTAAGAGATCTTTACACTGCCTCGATATGCCTGACATTATAAATCACTGCGAAAAAAAAAGCGTTTGGTGGGCAAAAAGCAAACGCCTACAGCCAGATTAACACATTGTCCGACTAGGTGTACATATACATATATCGCTCTCTCTCTCACTCTCCATACATATACATTATGTATCCTATAAATACGCACATTAGGCGTTGTTGTCCACAGGCCGAGGCCTAAAATTAAATTCAACGCGAATATTTTTTGTTTTCAACTTTTTCGTGTGTGTGTGTGTGTGTGTGTGTGTGTGCGACGACCGCAAACAACTGCCACATGGGGCATGCCCCGCCCAGTCAATTGAAATGCGCATTGAGCACGTGTAGCTGAAGCCGAGCTATGCTGATGCGTGTTGGGCTGCGGGCTATTGGGTTTCGCATTCGAGGCGTGTGAAATCGAAACCATCGAAATTGAAAACACTCAATGAAAAGTTCTGCGGCTCAGCCTTGGTTTCAATTGCATTTCCCTAGCCCAGGCCCAGGCCCAGGCCAGAGCCAGCTAGACCCCGACCAAACTTCTGTGGCCCCTGTGGCCACGTAACTGACCCACATCAACTGCAACACAGAGAGAGCGAGAGAGCAAGCCAACTGGCACTCTCTCTTTCTCTCTCTCTCTCTCTCTCTGTCTCTCTGTCTCTCCCTTGCTCTCTCGTTGCTGCCAAACAATTTTTATGGCATGTGGCAAAAAAGTTTTGCCTGAGCCACAAAAAAAAAGAAAACAAGAAAAAAGATTGAGAGCACATTTCATAATTGTGCACGAGCAGCTGGTTGTTGGGGCAGGGCCAAAAGTTTCCAGGGCCAGGCCAGGGCAGGCCAGCAGAGCTGAATTTTCAAGGTGCAGCGCGGCAAACGCGGCGTATGCGTCATAAATGCCATAACTGGCAGACGCTTGTCGCCCAGCAGGAGCCCAGCCGAAAATTCTAAAGGAATACAATTAAGTGAAAATACTAAATTTTTGCGGGAAATTCCATTCGCGTGCCTCGCACTATTCACCAACATTGAAAACTGCGAGTGAATGGGCGAAAGTTTCAAGTGACTTCGAGCGAGTTAAGTCTTGGAAACTCCAACTAAAGCAAGCAAACAGCTTTAAGAGTGCATACATGACTATAAATGTATATATATAAGAGAGGATGACGTGATGATGTGTGTATATAATCTATAGGCAAAATTGTGACTACAGAAATTTCTCAAGCTCACTCTTTCTCTTTCTTCGTTTCTTACCGTCCTAGTTCTTTCCTCTGTGTGTCATTCTTTCTCTCTCTCTCTCTCTTTCTCTTCTTATCTTCCCAGAAAGAGATATTGTTTCTGTATTTCTCTCTCTCTCCCGCGTTCTCTCCCTCTATCTATTTCAATTCGTTACCTTCTCTCGCTCAATCTCTCTATTTCTTTTTATTTTCATGGTCTTCCTCTCATTTTCTGACTCTGTGCCTCTCACTCTTTCTCTCTTACTTTCTCTCTTTCTCTGTGTCTCTCTTTGTCATTCTCTCTCTCTCCCTCTCTCTGTCTCATCGGATCTTCCTTCCCTTTCTTTTCCACTCTGTATTTTTTCTTGATCTTTCTCGTTATTTGTATTTTTGCTGTGCATCTCTATTTATCTGTGACTCATTCTTCATATTTCTCTCTTTCACTCTTTGTATACCTCTTCGCTCCGTCTCTTTCCCTCTTCCGCACCCGCACATTCTCTATCTTTTTCTCCACTAATCCCTTCACTTTCTCCCTCTCTCTTTTCCTCTCTGAAAAATATATATATTTTTATTTAAGTCAAACATTGCCATCCAAATGCAATTCAAAGTGCAGCACTTGCAGCATCGCCACGCCCACTTGAGCGATTCGTGCATGGCTTAATATCAGTTAAAGTGCCCGAGTTAGTTTTGGCCAACTTTGTGGACTTGTGGCAGCTAGATAACTGGGCCGTCAGACCACCCACCCACTCGACTGCACTCAGCACTCAGCTGATGAATTCATTAATTATATTA